AGTGCAATGAATGTTAGAGAAAAATTAACTGAACTATGGTCTACAGTCTTAGTTATTCATACCATAACCTTCACTGCATACATAAGAAAATGTATCTACGCAAAGACTAATGTTTAATGCATGTCTGTAATCAGTAAGATACAGAGAGCAGGCGGTCTATAGGATGACACAGATAATATTAAGAAGTATATATACAGGGAGTGATACTTCATGACAAAATCTGAAAGGCATAATTTTAAATTAATTTTAAAAGAATATATTGCACAATTAGAAATAGTTCACAGAAGAAAATAAGGAAGAAATTAGGGACAAGTAAAAACTTTTAAAGTTAACTGATTAAGGAAAATCAGTTAAGATTGATGAGAAAGACTGATGAGAATTTTCTTTTCTGAATGAGGTATTAAAGGGAAAGAGGCACAATAAAATTATACAAAACAAAGGTAAGCTAGGGAAGGGATAATGTTTTCCCTCCTTTATCCTACATCAGTGAGAAAACAGTAAAAAACATCTAGATGTCCATAAAATTTGCAACTGTCCCATTTTAAAATAGTAAATGAAAGCACATCATTCTCACTGACAAATGATTTAGGCTGTGCCAAGAATTTAGAAAGACTCAAAGTAGAATTTCATCTTCATATGATGAAAATCTATGGAGTTAATATGAAAACACTTGGTAGAATCTAAATTGTCAGAATTCACACCTTAAACCAAGGTCACACTATCCAGGATTAGGAGGAGATCTTCTAAGGGATCTTCTTTATTTACTAAACAGCTCTTGCATCTTTCTCCAAGGATTCTGATCCTGATAACTGTCAGAAAAAGGCCACTGGAAAGAGAGGCCATGATTGTGATCCATCATTTCAAGATTACTATATAATATTCTCTAAAAAAAGATACTGAAGAGAAAAAAAAGACTGTGTGTGACAGCAACTGGTTAAACACTATGTTAACTCTGGTTTCTAATTTTAAGGGCTGTCCAAATTTACTGTGTCTGTTCTACAGTCAGAATCCAGAGTAATAAAACCTTCAAATAGCAGTTTCCCCTTTTTGCAGTCTTGCAGTGATAGCCTAACTCTCCAAACTCCTCTTAAATTTTATTATTGGTGCTCAACTGTCTGCATATCAAGACAAATTAGTGAGTTTGAATTGTGGAGATCTGTAGAGAGCTTTTGATTTTAGGACAGAACCAATTACGGCTGAGCACACTGATCCAGCTCTGACAAGAGGGTTAAGTGGCTTGATTCATATTTGCATTTATGCAGTATTCATATACAAAAAAAAATAAGTAGTTGAGATTGTCTAGCAGAGAGAGGGAGAAAGGACGTGTATTCCTCCCAGTTTTCTAAACTGCTCATCAGAGGAAGCAAATATTTAGTGCATGCACACATGAACACAAGCAGCATAAAAAGATCATCCTTTTGCTTTTTTAGGCACATTGCTATATCAGTGCCTGAGACTTAGGGCTTCAAAGGTCTGGTTTTCATTAAATCTGCCAGAGATGTACAGACCTCTAACACGTTTCATCGTACATGACTGTTAATATGAATAAATGCTTATGTATGGAAATTGCTAATTATTAAATTAATTGATCACTTCCACTTCAGCCCTTTTGAAAAATAATACATAATGTACCTGTTAAATTGAGGACTGATATGGAAGTGAAAGATAAAATAAGTGAAAGCAGAATTCATTGTATTTTAAAATGGTAAAAGCACATTCAAGAGATTGCATGGGTCTTTTAATTTCTTTTTATTTTATTAACGTTGTCTCTCATACAGTAATTATTTTGTTTCTTATACAGTCATTATTTTCTATCCTGTAGCATATTACAACATTTTCCAGCATAGCATAGGTTGTAACTGTAAAACACACAATTAATTTTAAAAATAAGAAGCCCCATCACTCCCCAAGTAAGCCTAGAAATCAGATTTTTTTTTTTATTAATTCAGGCAAGATCTACTTCAAATTGTTCTTCATTCTGTAAGCATGAATATAAAATTTTGCAAGGCTGATAGAAATTACTCCATTCCGTCAAAATTCCTCAGGAAGGTATATTCCCCAGTGTATTTGTCCTTTTTTTTCCCTTCTTGTCATTTTCCTGCATCTTATGTCTGGCATTCTAGAAGGCAAATATTTTTAAAAGCTTCTAAAACACCTCAGGTTCTGCCTACAGCTACAGACATGCAACCATATGGTTCCTTAATTACTTAAATCACTATGTAAGGCCTATGTGTTAACAATCAAGATACATTTCACTAGTGTTAGCCCAAGGGGACCCAGTTTCTAACCTCATGACTTTGGCATTGCTTGTTTGCTTGTGTAGCATTTCCTTTGCAGCTCTCTCAAAATACAAGGGTCATTTCTCAGACGGATACCTACTGACTAAAAACTGTTGAGTCTTCTCACTTGAAAACCTCACTGTACTGTTACTGCTTACTGTATATGCTTATCTTCCTTTTTTTTAAGTTTTGCAGCTGATACAAAACTGGGAGGAGTGACTGAACCACATATGGTTCTGCTATCATCCAGAGGGACCTCAGCAGGCTGGAGAAATGGGCCAAAAGGAACCTCATGAAGTTCAGCAAAGGGAAATACCAAGTCCTGCATCTGCAGAGGAATAACCTCTAGCACCAGCAAAGGTGGGGGGCTGAGTGGCTGGAAAGTAGTTCTGCACAGAAGGACCTGGGGGTCCTGGTGGACAACCTGCTGAATGTGAGACAGCAATGTGCCCTTGTGGCGAGGAAGGCCAACATCTTCCTGGGCTGCATTAGGAAATACGTTTCCAGCAAGTTGAGGAAGGTGTTCCTTATCCTCTGGTCAGCACTGGTGATACACACCTGGAGTGCTGGGTCCAAGAACAGAGCTCCCCAGCACAAGAGAAACATGGGCTTACTGGAGTGAGTTCAAAGGAGGGCCATGAAAACAATTAAGCCGTTGAAGCATACGGCATATGAAGAGAGAGCTGGGACTGTTCAGCATGGAGAAGGTTCAGTGGGATTTTACCCATCTATATGGATACATGGATTTACCTGAGTAAAGAGGACAGAGCCAGGCTCTTTTCAGTAGTGCCCACTGACAGGACAAGAGGCAATGGGCACAAACTGAAGCACGGAAAATTCCATTTAAACATAAGAATTTTTTTCTTTTTTTATGGTGACTGTGATCAAACACTGGAGCAAGTTGCCCAGAGAGATTGGAGATTTTCATAACTTGACTGGACACAGCCCTAAGCAACCTGTTCTACCTGACCCTCCTCTGCAGGGGGTAGGACTACAGACTGGGGGGTGCCTTCCAAACTCAACTGCTATGTGATTTTGTAGTTCTGTGATACCATTTAAAAAAAAAAAAATCATACCTAAAGGAAATTTCCTTCTTTCTCTCTACAACTAAAAGTTTCATGTTTGGTAAATGACTTTCCAAAAATTGCTGGATTTTTTTGATCTTGTCCCCTGAAATATGAGGGGAAAACAAATTACACAGCCACTTCCTAGTGAAAGAATTAAAAGAAGTCTGGTAAAAGGACAAGAATATTCACTGCATTTCATTAAAAAAAATTTAAAAAGCATCTCTACCCTATTTCAATAAGATTGAATATTATTAAAAACATTTTGACATTCATTTTCCTGATGTTGTGTGTTCACCACCTGCACATTGGAAAACACTATTTTCTGGAGTTGGTCAGAGGGAATCCTTTATTTCGTATTTGATAATGTTGTGTATGAGCAGTCTGTGACTGAATAATAATAATAATCTTTGATCATGACCAACCTGTGACTGAATGTTACAGCCATTCTATCAAGCAGAATTCCTCCATTTATATATCCTTCATTCTCTCATCCTATTTCTCTTCTTGTTTGTTTTTGTCAAAAATAATATTGCTGACAATAATTATGTTCATTCCCATGTTGGTACTATGTTCTGAAAGGTATCCAGTGGTGTATCACATTCATGCTGACTGAAGGGTTCACCATGACAGGGATATGAGAATGGACAATATGAGGAAGGCTTTTTGCTAAGCTAGAATTTTTCTTTCTACAAGATCACAATATTGCAACAAAATCAGTATCTTTCAGTATAGTTGTGTGATATCACCAGCAAAAAGTGTATTACAATAATGTAGACTTTAAAGACATTTTAAGTCTCCACAGAAAAAAAAAAAAAAACAGATAATGTAATATTAATGTCCTGTCAAGCCATTTGCTTGCTGCAGCAGGTGGACTTACTGCCAGAAAAGAAAGAGAAAATTTCCCATTGGCTCTGAGGTTGTTTGGAGAATGTACCTGCTAATTATAACATCCCTTGGAAAAGTGTGCTAAACTCTGTCCTTTTAACTAAAGTCTCTCTGTTTCCAGAGAATCTTCAATTCAGTGTGTTATGAATTCTTTTCAAAACTCTTTTCTCCAACTCAGTCTTTTCTGCTTGAAATCTCCCCTGCTTCTGGCTGTTGAATGGCCGTTGTCGAACTTGCCCATCTCAAACTCAATTCAACTCCTCATTTTTACTTTTTTAACATAAAATCCCTTCTTTACTTTTTCTATAATGAATACACTGGACTTTGTTGATGGTTATCCTGTCTTCTCTGTATCCCATCTTCATGTGATCCCACTCACTCTATGGTATTTAGCTCCTATTTATGATTCCTGATGGCTCACAAACCACCTTTTTTTTCCCTTTCTATTGTGCTATACAGCCATTATAGTAAAGTACTATGAACTGACATCCTTCCAAAGCTGTATCCTTGCCCAGTTCAAGAGTATATTTGCTAGTGTTAAAACTCTACAGAGCTCTGGCTGAGCATGTACTCTGGTTGAGCTGCTGTATTTGACAAGTAAATCCCTTATATTTACTGCTTATATTTATTTAGAATGACAGTCATGAGAAGTTTACTACTAAGGAATCGAGTTTTGACCTTGGCCACAGAGCATGTTACATTTGTGGAACAAAACCAAGGAGATGATAGCTTCTAATACAGTTTTTAAGAATAATCAGAGAATGTTCACCTTTATATATACCATTGTATCCTCCATGGACTTCTCCAGAACTGGAGATTTCTTCAACATGAGCCCCTTGGTCAGATGTAAAGTATACAAGAGTTTTATCAGTCAGATTATATTTCTCAAGCACATCCAGAATCTGCCCTGAAAAAAAAAAAAAAAAAAGAAAAAAACCCAAGAGTTTTAATGTATTCAAGTGGCTTTTTCATTAGCCTTGGCACATATATACATTTTTGTCCTTATGCCTTTTTAAGATCACTTTCCATATAAACATTATTATACAAAGTCTTTGCACCATGCAGCATACAGTAGGGGATGATTGCACCAATTGCACAAGGCTTGATGCAATCAGGACCATGGCTCAATTGCTACAGGTTTTCTTGAAGTATAAAATGAGAAGATTTGTGCAGAGCAGAGAAAAAGGCTGATCCACAGAGAGACAGTGACCTTTGGAAGCAGTTGCTCTCAATCAAGGAGACCCCTCAGCAAGAAGATTCAAACTGCTGAGGATATCTGAAAGTCTCAGCATGCAGAATAAAGCTAACAGTTTGGGGGTAAAGCTTTGCTGCCTAGCAACCTAGAGGCAACATGGCAGAAATCTCAGTGTGAGTGTTAGATAAAGACATTCTAAGAAAATAAAGGAAGTTAATGTATGGAGTGCCTCTGGAGATCACATGGTTTCAATATCAAACCTAGTAATTAGTCCCTAATTTCTCATAAGAATAGACATGGACTAAACTAAAAATATGCAAGGTAATAAACACACACACACACACACACGCACATATTTAAAAAAGGAATCCACCACATGCATATGCTCTGTAACTCAAAGGCACCATGGGTTCATGCTTCATTTTCACAAAGGGCTCCTCACACTACCTTGGCACTGTGGAGAGCCTTGCAGTGCACATAAATTACATTCAAACCTATTTAGACTGAGCTCTTTAAAGAGGGTTTTTGTATGAAAGAGAGTGAAGCTGCTCTTTGTAACTTACTCCAGTGAATTTTATACTGATTAGGAATCTAAAATTATTGGTCCTGGAAACTGACCAAAGTATAAGAATATACTTCTTCACATTGGCCTGCAAATGAGCTTTAACCTTGTTCGTTAGGGATCTCAGAGCATATAAAGATAATTCGGTCTTCACAACCATTTTATCTTTATTCTTTTTACTTAAACATCCAACAATGGTCCAATTTGAAACTTAATTTTGATTTGCTCACCTGTCAACTAAGAATTAATTCATCAGCTGGTGCCCAGTTATTTTGTCAAAGAGGATAAGAACTTTGAAATACACAGCCTTCTTTAACAATTTTCAGATCATCATTTCTGTTGCTATGTTCTTTTTCTGGATAAGGGGTAGTTACCTTAGCTTATTGCTACTATTTCTAATTGTCTTTTAATGTTACAGCATTCTAAAACTGCCTTGTTAAAAAGGTTGACTGTCTTCATTGCTCATCAGCTCAAATGACTTGGTCATGAATAAAGGGACATCAGCAGTTAGATAAGTGATACCTATTGGTCTTGTTTGTAAACTAGGAGCAAAGAAGAAATGTAAGAGTAGGAGAATTTGTTTATGTAAATTTTGAAACCTTGTGGGAGTTGAAATTTCCCAACAGAGCTGAGGAAAATCTGTTACAAAGGCTGACATTTTAAAGTTGGTGGGTTGAAGGAAAATCATGCAGATCCATCTGACAAGCCATTTGCTTGCTGCAGCAGGTGGACTTAGTGCCAGAAAAGAAAGAAACAATTTCCCATTGGCTCTGAGGTTATTTGGAGAATGTACTTGCTAAGTAATTATAACATCCCTTGGAAAGGTGGCAATGATGATAAAAAAGTGGAGCATATAGAAAAATTAGGACATTATGTGTGGATATTCAACCACATGACCTCCAGAGTTACCTTCCAACCCATATCAAGCTATGATTTTACGACCCTATGACAGTAAAAATAAATGAGATTGCCCAAAGAAATACATGTGCAATAACATGCACAAATGCACTTTTTATCTACACAGTTTTCCTTGATGAAACTAGATTTTCAAATTCACCCTGTATATAAAAATATCGATATAAACCAAGAATTCTACTCATCCAGTAATGTATATCACATTAAATGATCTCTGGTGATTAGAGACATCTGCTGTCATTTAATAATGACCATTTTGATTTTCTAATTAATTTGGGAAAAAATGGGAGGCAATGAGCAATGTCTCTCTATCACAAATAGTGAAATATTTTTTTTTTTTTTTTTTTTTTTTTTTTTTTTTAAGCAAGGTTGAGTATCTTAACTTGGCTTGAAAAAAAAAAAATCTCACCTGTTTCAGGAAAAAAACCCTAATAAAATGCACAGAAAGTCTCATACAAAACTTGTTGAACTCAGTGGTAAAACTTCCATTTCCTTCATTTGGATTTTTAAACACAAAGAGGATTGGCTACATTAGGCTAATTAATAAATGCTAACATGAAAACTTATTTTAGCAACAATATTTTTCCGTACAGATGGACTAATAGTGCTAATTCAAATAACACTATTATCAGAGAATGGCATTCACAAGCACTCACAGAAATGAAGCAAAACTTCAATTTCTATTTTAATCTTGAACACTGACACCTTCTAGAATGAAAACTGTAAATAAGCAATAAAGTGTGTGCTACCAGATGATAAGGCCCACTAAAGTGCATTTGAATGATGTGGTTACTGTTAACACAAGCAATGCATTCACTTATTAGCATTTCTAAATGGTAACCAATACGGAAGAAAAATGCAGAAAATGTACTGTGGATTTCTACGGATACCTTTCACATGCAATATTATACAAATTTTAGAAGAAAATACTACAAAATAAGCAAAATACATTCTTTACTGTTTTCTGATAGCAATTTATTTTTAATTTTAATTCCCCCACTCTTATTATTTCTGTAGATTTCATAGAGACTTTAGAATTAAATGAAAATGGATGTATAAACATTCCTAGGCAATGCCAGCTAATGTACAAGGGGGAGTTTAATCTAACTTATTTTAGTTGACTTTGGAAGAGGTGAATCACAACTGCTAAAAGGCCTTTTTTAACTGTTGACTGAAAAAGAGAAGACAGGCAACTAGCTCAAAACCAAATGCCATTTTAGACATCAAGGACAGTAAGATGAATCCTACCCAAACTGCTAAACATGCAACTACATGAGCAACACACTTTAATGACTGTGCGGAACAGATAAATGACATCTGAGTAAGAGAAGATGGTAAAACTGTATTGCTTCACCCATAAAATATGATTGTAAGGGTATTAATATGTCATGTGCTCTTGAATTACAGTAATGGGGATTCAGCAGGCTTAGTAGCCCTTTGAGTCTCATTGCTGGTTGCCAAAAGCAATAAAAATTTTAAAGACTTTTGGGATCTAAAGTGTTTATACAGTATAGGAAACTGTAGCATAAATAAACCGAAATACTAGGAAAACTGTAGCTCTGTTCAAGTAACAATATCTTACTATCCCCAGCATTGGAAATTATCAATAAAAATGGAAGGATTCCTGATTGAAAAGACTCACTTGAAAGCCATGTTCTAAAAATTAACAGCTGCACTGATCTCTGTGGATGGTACCATTTACATTTTTTTCTGATTTGAACAGAACAGATTTGGAAAGACAACATTTCTGAACAACAAAATCAATCTAACACTGAAGGAGCTGCATAATTTCTCAAGCTATTTAGCAACCAGAATTTCAGATCATTTCTCCTACTATTGCCATTCTATGAATGTATACCCAACATAGGTGGCTAACATTGTAGCAGAAAAAAACATTAGATTATTGGACACTTCTTTTATTTGTATTTTTTTAAGACACAAAACAGATCAAGAACAGCATGAAGATGTTACTTGTTTTAATTAGTACATCAGTTTTCCAAAATTTAAGTAAAGCTACCTCCAAAATATACTGAGGAGTGCTCTCTACATTCTGCTTTCCACTCTTGCTTCAAACCATGGTAAATTATAAATAGTTGTTTCATTCTTAAAGTGAAAATGTCAGTTTCAATGGAGTGATAGCCATGTGAAAGTGTTAAGTGCAATTGACTTTATTCTTTAGAAGGAAACTGAGAGTACCGTGCCACTATTCAGCTTCTCTAATACAACACGAATGGTTGCCGAACCAGCCTCTCTAATGCTGAATATGATTTCTGGAGTTTTGAACCTCATAAAACTCCTTTTGTGCTCATCTACATTAATATATGGGGTTTATAAAAAATTGACTATTTATTTGAAAAAAGGTACAAATATTGAAAACCAATGTGTTTTCAAACATATTAGTGATTTGGAAAACTGTTCAAAGATTTAGTCAAGCAAGCATATGAACATATGCATTTGATTCATAAATTAACTCACTGTCATTTGAAGTCAATAGGACAGAAATGTTATTTGTATTAATTTGAAATAATTTAGAGTCTTGCTGAAATTATGAATAAAAAGCCCTAGAATACAGAATATGTCTGTGTAATCTAGGCATTGGGACAACAAAGTCTCTCTATTTGTGAGGAAAGATTTAAAACTGTATGCCAGATTCAAAGAAACAACAGGATTAAGAAGGAGGGTTAAGGATCTGTCTCAGGACAAGACAGTTGAAGAGAAAGGGAGTTCCTGTAAATATAACATTATTTCCCCACTCCAGCAGACCTTCACATGCTTCTGTTGCATCCAGAAGGTTACAGTAAGCTTGAGACAATTATTGGAGAAAGAGTGATCTGGGAAGATCAGCCATCACATCTCTGCCTAAAAGAGGCAGTTTGGGTTTGGGGGTTTTATTTATCTATTTATTTATTTATTTTATTTTCAGTTTCAGAATTCCCTACTGATACTAATGTTTGTTTTTGAATAGCATCATTAGTCAGAATCACAACTAACTTGTAGTCAGCTGAAGGGGTTCACCTCTGTGAGTGGAAAGCCAGGAATGCTTTGAATACATGCATAAACACCTACAAATTAACCCTACATGCATAATTATCTGGAAGCCCGTATTTATCCCAGAAAATATATTGATGCCATTCAACTGCATAGAAAGCCTCTTGAGGAGTTTAATTAAGGTAATTCCACTGTTCATCATTTCTTCAGGGCTCAAAGGCTAAGATTTTCACCTTATGAAAACGTA